GAGTGTGCAAAACGGAGATAGTAAACGCGCGACAGAGGCAGGGAAAGAGAAAGACTGGCGCATGAGAGAGGGAGAAAGAGAGCACGAGGGAGGGAAGGAGAGAGAGAGAGAGAGAAAGAGTTCGATAGAAGGACGAAACTCAAGTGTGGAGAAGCGCGATACGGTGATAGATAAGTATCGGAGTGACAGACACGGCCGGAACGAAGGAACAAACTTGCAGTAGGTATATACGCGGAAAGGGAGTGAATCTGTACGAACTGTGGTGCCGGGGAGTATACTTATCGAACGTCACATTCACGCGAGATAAACAACACGCGCCGACGGTAGACTCGTTGCGCGAGTCTATTCTCTCCCGCTCGGGAGTAATACAGTGGTGAGATATATATCGTCTTTCACTAAGCCGAGAACAACAGAGAACAACAGAAGTGGAAGGGAAGAGCGAAGAGGGTGAGCCGCGCGTGTCTCTCTCGTGGTGTGTCATGGGGTGTTTCGGCAGCCAGAGTAGTAAGGCCAGCCAGGATGACAGCAAGAACCAGAAGAGGCGCTCGGATGCCATTACCAGGCAATTGCAAAAGGATAAGCAAGTTTACCGAGCTACCCACAGGCTCCTTTTGCTTGGTAAGTAAATTCACTGAACTTCCCCTTCCACTTTTCCTTCTCGCCTGCCTTTAACAATTCTTTCTTTATTTTGCGGATATCTTCCATTTGTTTTTGACATGCTCCTCTTCTCGAGTTAAATCTTCGTTTTCAGATGCAGCGCGTCTCTCTATATCTATGGACGCGTGTGTGTCAGAGACGGAGAAAATTTCCGCTAGAATACCAGTTGAATCGGCTTCGATCACCAATTTTGGACAAAAAGCGAATCCGGTCAGAGGATAGGCCGAACATTATCGCGATGTTCAGCAGCGCGTAATTGAATTTTATCGATTATCGTACGGAGCCGACGGCACCCACGAATATATCCATCCAGCGGGCTGGTTGGCTCATGTTGTACCCTTTTCGTGTCGCTCTCTTCGTCTCCTTCTTCTCCTTTTCCCGAATCGCAGCCTTTTTCACACAGTCGGCCAACGTGGGTGTGCGCGTGCGCTCGCACGCACACCATCTACTTATTACGATACTTAACCCAACACCTAGCCATTACCTTCCTATTCTTCGTTTATGTAGGTCGTCGTTCTAATTCGACGCGTGGACGTGTATTGTGTGTTGCGTATAGTCTACTCGTAGCTGTAAGCTACGAAGCAACAGCTGTTATTGTATTGTTTCTCCTGCCGTCTACCTGTTTCCCCCCCCAAAAAAAAACCACGATAATATGCTGCACTTTAACGCGCTCGTCAAATAATCACCTGGACGATCGTGCAAAAAGATCGCTATCGATCTTCAGATGTATGTGTGTGAAGCCGCTGCTTCTTGTTTCCCTTTCTTTCTTCAAACTTACGTCAAACGGTGCAAGAGAGAAATAAGAAGTGAAAATTGTTGTCTTTACATTCTAGGAGCGGGAGAATCGGGGAAGAGCACTATCGTCAAACAGATGAGGATATTGCACGTGAATGGTTTCACCGAAGCGTAAGTTTCGTTGCCTCGTTACAGCGTTTTAAGACAATCCGACGTTCGATATTATTCACGGGACACGGTGAACGCCGCTCGTACGTAATCTCCAGTCCTTTTTTTTTTTTT